CTCAGAGCAAGCAGGTCCGACACCGCGAAAATCCACTCACGGATGCGGCCCCTTGAAGAGGCTTCTGCCGCTGCCACAGCCTCTGTCTCACTCAGTCACTCAGGACCGGGCAACCCCACGTCCTCACCCCTTCCTACCTTCTGCCGTTGCAAGGTGCTTTCTTGGACTTCTCCCTAGTTATATGGTTTGTTCATCTAGATCCCAGGCAATTTTTCCTTGCTGCTGCTCCTTGTTTCTGTCACAACTTTGATTTGGTCACCAGAGGGATGAACAGAGCGTCTATCATCTACGCCATTTTTTTCTCCTAAACTTCTTTAATTAAGCTCAACATGGTCTCATTTTTTCATATACTTTCCTCCAGAATTTAGTTTTTACTTTTTATTTTAACATAAATAGATTTTAATCATGATTTAAACTCATAGAGGCCTGGTTTCACTTTTGATTTTAACTTTCTTTTAATTGAGATATAATTGACATATAATATTAGTTTCAGATATACAAGGAATGCTTTTTAAAGGAAGGCCAACTCAGTTAGCTTGTCTCTTAGGCTTTTTGCCCTTCTTCCTTTGCCATGTTCCTGGAATATAGATGAGATACTCAGAGATGAGGCAGCCCTTTAAGAAGGATATAGACAACAGCCAAGCATGATCACAGCCAAAGCTATGAGGAGTCTAGGTGCCCATGACACCACGGAGATATTGTATTTATCCTGGACTGCCTTCTCCTAAACTTTATTATGGGAGAAAAATCTACTCCTGTTTGGTTAAACCTCTGTGATCAAGTTTCTGCTCCATGCAGCTGAATACACACTAACCGATAACAGCTGTACGCTGAAGTTTACCTTTATAAAAATTGTGAAATTTATCATGCACAAAAAGATTAAAACTAATATAAAGGATTTAGAAATAGAGTTAAAGAAGTTCCCTATCCTCCTCCTTCTGGAGCCTACTCCACTCTCCTCCCCTAGAGGAGACAACCACCCTGGCTTCATGTGGCAATATTTTCTCCAAGGTTGTTGTCATGCCCCTTAAAAATTAGTCTCTTGTTCCTATTTTTAAAAAGTATTGAGTTCCTCCCCTAAATTTCATTGTGACAATAAATAAGATTTTTTAAAAAGCAAAACTCTACAGGGACAAAGAGATTGGGAGAGAAAACAACAACAAAATTTTAGAAGCAAAGAAGCAGATAGACACGCTGTTACTGGCACAGCAGACCAGAAGAGCTGAACTAATAAGTTTATCAAGGTAGGGAGATCAAGGAGCAAGCTAATTTATGGTATGAAACTCCAGAAAGACTCAGCGTTTGGAGGCAACCCATACCTCTGAGGGTGGGATCTAAGTAGTACTGGAAAGAAAAGAAGCGGTTTCATTGAAAGCGAATGTATCAGTCAGAATCTAGTCAGGAGACAGAAACCACACCAATTATTTCAACAGAAGGAATTTAATATAAAGAATTGTAAACTAGGCATAAAGTTGTTAACTAGGTAAATGAAAGGGTAAAAAGAGAACTCTTAAGGTATCACTCCCAGGGCTAGAGGAAAAGGGAAAAGGATGGGATTTTAGAACCTTAGAAACTTGGAGGCGGGGCCCACGGGCCCAGGGATCTAGACCTCTGAGAAGAGGTGTTGCTAAGCTCCTGCTGGTGTCTTTGGTGTGAGAGCATGATGAGGCTGGTCGTGAGCGTTGGAAAAACTGCAAACCTACTTCAGCTATTGCTGCGGGAAAGACCTTTTGCTGCAGTGAAGCATTGTTGGGTGCTGCTCACCGCAATAGAAAGAAAACAGGAAGTTTCTTGTCTCTTCTTGTTTCCCCAGTCTTCCAATTTCCCTCTGTTGCCCTCTATGGGCAGAGGCTAACAGAATAACTGGCAAAATTACTACAGGTTTTCAGAGTCCCAGCTTCAGTGTTGCAAACCTGAGTATAGAAGAGTTGAGCTTAGAACTGGGAGACAATAACATAACTGTCAATACTGGTATTAGAAGCAAGTATTAGAAGCAAGTTTGAACCCAGATCTCCAACCTCATCAAGGCAACTGCTGCTTCTTCCATACCACCTGAAAAATGAGGTGTATTCTCTGGAGCGTAGAGGGTCTCTAGACTGGGGAACATTACACACTGTTGACAGTGGGATCCTATACCAAAAATAGGGATTAAATGAAAGCTTACTGAACATCAGGACCTCAGCCTTCTTCTCTCAAGTTACCTCCACTGAAAAATCAAATATATATTCTCCAGGCAGGGGATTGGAAGCTTCTTCTCTGAGAATCTGATAGCCCAAGAAAAAAGACCTAAATATCCTGATATCAATATAATAGGCTAACTAGATTGTAGTGAAATCTATAATCAGTAACCCTACCAAGCTCTCTTCCAATCAGGTTTTTAAGTTATAATATTAAAGGGTGAGCAAATAGCCTAGAACTACCAGACATCTCAGGAAACTCTAAGGTACAGGACAGAGACTAAAATATTGAGAAAAAAGAACTTGGTGGAAACATAGACTATACTGAGAGATATCATCTTTAGTAGTTAATATTTTCTGAGAATAAGAGAAGACCTTGCAACCAAATAAAAAGAAAACAGAGAATAAGAAAGAATTCTTAGAAATTAAAAATAAGATAGCAGAAATGAAAAACTCAATAAGAGGATAGGAAGCTAAAGTTGCAGAAATCTCCTATAATGTGGAACAAAAAGATAAAGAGATGGAAAATGGGAGATAAAAGACAATAAAATCATTGGGTCAGTCAGGAAGTCTGACATAGGAGTAATATGAGTTTCAGAGTAAAAACACATGGAAAATGGAAGGGTGAAATCATCAAAGCAATAATTCAAGAAAATTTCTCTGACTTGAAAGATACATTTCCAGATTAAAAGGACTCGCTGTATATGAGCTAAGAAAAAAAAAACAACTATAACAAGGCATATAATCATGAAATTTTAGAACACAAGGGACAAAGGAAAGATTCTATGAGCTGCAGGAAAAAAAATTAGTTACAACAGTATGGGGCCAACCTCCAGAAACTTTATTAGAGACCTCAACCTGCTGCCCAAGTACTCTGGCAATAATTATATGCAACTATAATAAATAGCTATCATTTTTTAAGCACCAAAGACTTCACATTTGTCATCTCTTTTAATTTTATAACCATCCAACAAATTAAATAATCCTATCCCCGTTTTAAAGATGAGGAGATTGGAACTCTAGGAGGTATATGACTTAAATAAGTTCACATAGCTAATTAAGAGTTAATAACAACAATAACTAACATATATTTAATGCTCACTATGTGCCAGACACTATGCTGTAACAGACACTATTGGTTGCCTAGCCAGCAGCCATCCCACCTCTTACCTGCTAACAGATTCTTAATTTTGTTCAGATAACTATTCCTTGGAAAAAGGGACCTTATGTCCAGCATGATTGTCCAAGCCAGTCAGAGTGATCCTATTCCCTTTCATCAATGCTTGAATTAAAAACAGACTGTGACTCAGCTCTGGCCAAAGATATAGGAAGAGAAGTCAGTGAGGAATTTCTTGGAAAGGTTTTCTCACTTTTAAAAAGAAACAAAAGAAAGAGATGACTGTCTTATGCTGCTACATACTGTAGTTTCTGGACGTGATGCCTGGAACTATGGCAGCCATCTTATGATCATCAGGGGAGACAGCCTAGGAAAGCCAACAAGCTGATGTTGGAAGAGCATAAAGCTGGAAGGAACCTAGGCCTTTGGTGAACTAATCAATCCTGAAACTTCCCTACTTTTAGACTTTTTGTTATGTGAGATAATAAATTTTTCTTATTATTTCAGGAAAAAAAAATAGTTACATAGGGTCATGTATCAGAATGGGTCTGAACTTCTCAACAGCAACACTCAGAGCGTAGAAGACAATCGAGCCTTCAAAATGCCAAGGAAAATGAATTCCACCCTAGAATTCTATACCTGCAAAATAATCAATTAATGTGAGGATAGATTAAAGACATTTTCAGATATGCAAAGCCTCAAAAAATTTACCTCCCATGTACCCAATTCTCAAAAGCTATTGGAACTGTTCCATCAAAACGAAGGATAGAACCAAGAAAGAGAAAGACACAGGAACCAGGAAACAGAGGATATAACTCAAGAGAGAGGTGACAGGAGCTCACAGGGTAACAGTGAAAAGAAACTTCGAGACAGAAGCTGAGCCCGAGAAGTAGAGAGCGATCAATATAGATTAGAGCAGGTCAGATATCTCTAGAAAGAATTCTTCAAGAAGATGAAATTGATGGAATACTTGATGAATTTGAACAATAAAGATTTGGAGGAGGAATTCATTATAAATACATAGGAAATGACACAAATGAGAAAAACAGGAAAATTTAATTTAAAATTTAATGTAATTCCAGGAAAAACAAAACATTGAGTGAGCAAGGAAAAATAGTCATGGGGTACTACACAGCTTAGTCATGAATTACATTTACATAATCATAATGATATAAAGAATATTAGTTTAGCCAAATTATGATATATCTATATTGGGAGGCTTGGGAATGGAAAATGTGGCTGTATGTGGTAAGCAAGAAGCAGGGTGATTAGTGAAAGGGCAAAAATCTTCATTTTTCAAATTGAGACATCAATTTGAGAAGCAAGGGCTGTCACTACAAAAAGCAAGGGCTGTCACTATAAGCATGTTTTTTAGTGATATGAAGAGAAATACCAAAAGAAACCGTTTAAGAGAGAAGCAAATGGTTGCCTTTGGGGAGTGGAAAATGGAGGCAATGGGGTACAGAGGATTGTTCTTTCTTTCATTATTAGCCTTGTAAAACTGACTATTTAGAAGTTTGAATAACTTTAGTAATAATAAACCATAAGAAGCATAAGAAACCAAAAAAAATTTTTTTTAAAGAAAAAGAGCCAATTACTAACTCCAAGGCAAACAAGACTTATTCAAGAAAGGAAAGAACAGGAAATGTACTCAGCTGAGAATACGAGTTACATAATGTGCCAACTATGTTCTCTTTGCCTTCCAGATCCATCTACCCTTCTCCACTGGCTCTGTGCCCAGGAGGCGGGCCTCTATGGACTCTACCAAAAGGCTCCCGTGTCCTCTGGCTTCCAGGTGGGTTCTGCCTGTGGAGAGCCCCAGCAGTTGAACAGAGGGAGATAGGAGGACTAATTGGAGTACGTAGTTTCTGGCTGCCTTCCTTGCGTGGTCATTTCGGGCTGGCTGCATGCCTTCACAACGGTTACAGCTGCTATCAGGCAACTCCACCTATACAGCTCTCGGGTCTCCAGGTTCTTCGGAGCCTACAAGTGGTAATAGAGCCCCACCGTTTTACCAGCCCTATCTCTAGTGGTTTCCCTATACCCTGCCCACACTTTTACAAATGGTCCCTTATTAAACTCTTCTTGAATTGCCCAATTTGAGTGTGCCATCTGTTTCTTGCTAGGACCCTAACTGATACACATAATCATGATAATATAAACAATGAATGTTGACTTAATAGAAAGTTCATAATATATTGGGAAGTAAGGAAGGGAAATATGTGTCTATTTGAGGAAGGTACATGGAAGGGAGCTAAGTCCTCATTTTTCATAAGAAAATGGATTCTATCCATTTCATAAGCCAAAAAAAGAAAGAAATAGTACCAAAAAAAGAAATAGAAGTATATTCATATTATTTAGAAATATGGAAGCAAGTCTCAGAAGAAATAGCAAAAAAAAGAGTTGAAATAAAGATGTTTCCAATTTAACATTTAAATATCTAAGGAATAGCTTCTAAAATTGTGTTTTTTTGGACTGTGGTTTGAGACCCATTAGTAGGTTTTGAGATGGATTTAATGAGTGTCAGTGAATTTTTTAAAAAATTAGAACAGAGTAGGAATTATCAATGTCTGTCACAGATAGTGAAAGTAAATATGATTTTGTTAAGCTGTTAAGTTTTATCTCTCTCTCTCTCTCTCTCTCTCTCTCTCTCTCTCTGTGTGTGTGTGTGTGTGTGTGTGTGTGTGTGTGTGTGTGTGTGATGTAAAATATCTTTGAGTTGGACTCAAAAAAACTTGAAAATCACTATTCTAAAAAATAGAATGGTGGCTGAAGACAGGACAGAGAAGTAAATTCCCAACCCAATTGGGGTTAAAGAGTTATGTTCTTCTCTATGGATGCAGTAACATTTCAAATGACTGACAATAGTAATAATTCACTGCACTTCGTGAGGCCCTGTCAGGTTAATAGTCCCATATGCAGCTCTTATTATATTCACCCTGTGCATTATAATGTTCTTGGCTCACCAGCTAATAAAGAAATAAATTCAGAGCCTCTCTGTTGGAATGCTATATTGATACAAGGAAATATAATTGTTCAGGACGAGGCTGGGGGAACAACAAAATAAGGCTAGCAAGCAAGAATAAAAATTATATCCCATACAGTAGGAAATGGGATGGAAATTCAGACCTATTTGCAATTAACTGCTATTTAAACTACCAGCCAGGTGATTCAGGGCTAAAGCAAACAGAATTCCTAGGATGTAAAAACAAAAATACCATCTCACAGGAATATGCAGTTAACTCTCCTTTTGTTAGAGAGATGGAAAATGAGGTCCAGAATGGTGAAATAAATTGAAAAACTGATGTAGTGAGTGTCAGTAAATTTTTCATTCTAGGAAAAAAGTGAATTGAAATTAAATCTTCCTGAAGGTACTGTATTTATCATATATAGTTGAAACTATATAATTATGGAATTCCAGATATATTTATAATTTACATAATTATATTAATATATACATTAAGAGGAAAATGAGGAACTAAGCAAACCATATTTTTTCCAACTTGTGTAAAGCAGGTGGCACTGAAAAACCAATAATTTCCATGTACCAGAATGTCCATCCATTTGCATTCTAAACACAAATAACAAGTGCAAAATTTTTGATCATGAGAATAAACGCTGATAAATGCTTTCAAGTATATTTTTTACTGTAACCATTAATTGTGAATGGATCATCAATTAAAAGTTGGCCCTTACACAACAGCTTTTTAATCTAGTGACAGTGTGAGGGGTCATCCCTGGAGCCCTGGTTTCAGGAAAATGCCACCACTCCACTGAGAATACAGAAGCAGCAAGAAGCTTGTACTCATTAATGTCATCACTTCCTCATTCTTTAGATTGCGATAAGGAACTGAAAAGAGTGAAATGAACGCTGCTTCTCACCCCTTATGTTCTTACGTCCAGCAGCACACATTGCATGACTCTTGGATGACTCTTCTCAGCCAAGTATTCCAAAGAGCCAAAAGTAGAAGGAGATGGAGTTCTGCCCTTGAGGAGTTTTTCGGTCTCATTGGGTACTCAGGGAACAAATAGAACATGATATCGATGGCATCTAATAAAGATATAAGTCGTGTGGATTGTTCAGCCGAACACTAAGTTCAGCTGAAGAGATCCACGTTCCTGATGCCATCTATGGCTCATTCAAAGTCCTGCTACATTTGAGTGGGCTGCTGAATAAAGTGAGGCTCTCATTTTCTACAGTGTGCTTGGCTGGGCCATCAAGTGAATGTAAGGGCCAACATGCCTTTTGAGTTCACTGCTGAAACCTGCTAACCTTAAACGCTGACCTGCATAGGCTTTCAAAATCCTAGATACTTGTCTGCCTTAGGTTATTATTTACCCCTGATAGGCTATAGAAAGCTTGGTTACAAGAAGTAGATATCAGGATAGCCAAGTGTCACAGACTGCCCACCAAGCTTGTCTTCTTCCTGAAGCAACCACATGGCAGGTGACTCAGGCAGGTTCTTTGTTGAAAATAACATCCATTCTAATTGGTTAAACAAAAATGAATGTATTGAGGGGTAGTAGGGGAGCTCACAGAAACTCCAGGACAGTGAGAGAATCAGGCTTGTCAGCCTGAACTGTGCCATCAGACTGCTCCCACTGCTAGGCATGAGCACCGCAGCTCGCATGGCCAGTGCTGGGCACAGAACAGTCCCACTAGTGACTTCTGCCACCGCTCTCCTGAAGGCTGGAGGTCTCTCCTTCAGGCTCTGCCATCCTTGCTAGAATGGATTCTGTGCCATGCCTCTGTCTTCACTCTCTTCTAAATCAAATTCTTTCATGGGAGCATTGTTACATACCCACACCCTGGCTGCAAATAAGTCTGCGAAAGCAAATTTCTGCCTTCTGCCTTGGGAGGCAAATGTACAAAGTTCTCCTAACATAAGGAGGGTGTACAGAGGTACCAGGCAGCTAAAAGGCATGGGAAAAAAATGTTCATTTGTTATGTGAGCCTAAGGCAGAAGGTTCAAAGGGTTCCAAAATCAAGTTGTTGTTGACCTCTCTACACCACCTCAGGGACATTTGAAATATGCTGTGTCCCATCCACTAGAAGGACATAGTGACTCTCTTCTTGACCTTCTAAGGTCATGGGATGCTTGTGCAGGTGGGGTGAGCCAGGGTAGCAGCAACAGCAGCAGGCAACTGCTGAAGAGGGACATGTGGCTTAGGAAGTACCTCCTAACACATGCAACACCATTGACGATCTGTCCTAATGGTAGTCACTGAGGGAAATCCTAAACTGTAGTCCGGATGCCCATTTTGCCTGGTAAAACCACACACTGAAATAGGACTTCAGTTTCTTCTTCAAAGCTGGAACATAAGGTCTCAGCAGGGGTTAGCCATTGTATTAGTGTCCTGTGGCTGCTGTAATAAATGACCACAAACTGGATGGCTTAAAACAACACACATTTGTTCTCTCATATTTCTGGAATCAATATCACTGGCCCAAGATCAAAATGTGAGTAGAGTCATATTTCTTCCAGAGGTTCTAGGGATGAATTCATCCCTTGTCTCTTCCAGCTTCTGTAGCTGCAGGCGTTCTTTGGCTGTGGCCACAGCACTACAATTTCTGCATCTATCTTCACATCACTTTCTGTGTGTGTGTGTGTGTGTGTGTGTGTGTTAGTGTGTGTGTTTGAATGCGTGAAATCTCCCTCCATCCCTCTCTCCTAATAAAGATAAATGTAATAATATTTAGGGTCCACCATAACAATCTAGGATAATCTCTTCATCTCAAGATCCTTAACTTAATTACATATGCAAAGACCTTTTTTCAAAATAAGGTCGCTTGCACAGGTTCTAGAGATTAGGACCTGATATATTTGGGGGACATTATTCAGGCTAGTACAGTGGTAGATGAACACTGTAGAAGAAGATAGAAGTAGAAGAATGATGCAAGATTGGTGCCAATAAATCACGGAGCTGGGTCCTTTCCTAAATCCCCTCAACCAACCTCTAGCATCCTTGGAATTTGGCAAAACTAAATGATCCCTATCCCTGTACTTAGTCCTTAGAGTGATTAATTTTTTTGACATGAAATTGGCTTCAAAGCTGATACAAGTTAAGCCATTTCGAAAGTAAAACAAAGGTCGTTAGTTAAGAATATCTCTTGACAAGTATAGACACAAATCTAGGTTTGGCCTCTCATAGTCGTTCAGTAGTTACTTTAAACAACTGATCTTTGCCGACTCAACTATGGCGAACTACAAAGTAGCACCAAGGGCTGGTCTAGGGTGCTGGATTTGCATCCTGCTCTGCCACTCCTAATGGTTTGACTTTGGGCAAATTCCTTAGCTCTTTGTGCCTCTTTTCTTATCTCAAAAATACGGATAATGATACTTAACCCCATGGATTTGCTATAAGGCTAAAATGAGATAATGTGTGTAAAAAATACCTGGCACACAATAAGCACTGAATGTTAGCCTTTGTTGTTGCTTTAGTAATGTTATTGCTTTTTTCATGCTATTTTGTCCAATTTTTTTATGCAAATATGGTATATATGAGCCAAACCATATTAAAGTGGCCTTCAGAACAATACGAAGTGAATTTACCAAAGACTCTCTACAAAATGGAAATTTAAACATTAAAGTTTGTTGAATTGAATGGAAGGAAAATAGAAGCCCGAAGTTACTGTATTGAATAAGCCTCAAACAAATTAAATGATATCGTTCTTTGTATGCCAGAACAATGATTCAAATACAATGGTAAGAATTTTTCTCCACGTAAAAGGCTTTTCCAGACCTTGAAATGTAGAGTCTATCTTCCAGGCTTAAAATAGCTTCTTTCGTAATTTTTTAAACATATGCATTTTCGTGGAGGACAGCAGGGGCACCTTTATTAGCAATGCTTCCGTTAAATAGTCCTGAACATTGGACTGAACATTTTACCCTAATCAGGTGTAATCAATAAGCAAATATATAAGTTATATCTCTGTTTATATATTTTCAAGAGTATTTATATGTTTAATAAAGCCCACAGTGTGGCTGGTAATTGGAAATGTTGACTGAACCAGGTTTCCTTGTATGAAACGCAAGACTTATGAAATGTTATCATAACTGTGAGTCATAAAAGCCCTTTTAAACAAATT